GAATTTCACTAAGAGGCGCCTTATATGCCAGAATTGGTGATAAAACCCCCTTCCCTCTGCTCCAGAGGGGGGGGGAGAGCCCTGTGTGCAGGGTGGGGGCAAAGCCTTTGGAATGGTGCCGTTCAACGGCGGCATTAGAACAGCAGTTTAAAACAATGACGCAGTCCCCCAAGGCAGGCCACAGCTGTACACACACTGAGCACATTTGGGGAGAAATGGGGAATGGGGACAGAGAGAGAGAGAGAGAGAGAGAGAGAGATTTGCAGAAAGCCTTTATTCCGCTTCTCATTTCCCAGGAAAGGCTTTGTAACATATGCTATTAATTCAGTGTGAGTGGGTATGCAGGATGTTTAGTATACGAAGTAAAATTTTAGTTTCATCCCACTGATTTTAATGCCAAAGCGTCCTGCGCAATGTTTCTGAAATGTATTTCACTTAGGATTGATATCTTTGCCCATTTTTGTAACTATGTTGATTTAAGTATCTGACTGTTTCATTAAAAAAAAAAAAATGCAGTGCAATCCCATCTTTGATTTACAATGGCTAGGATGAAGGTAGACTGTTACTAAATCCCTTATAGAGGCTTAAACCCTAAGCTTCCGGTACCATTTGCCTCCAGACACATGTGGAAAAGGAAATGGGGTTGTACCCACTGGTCCTACCTTCACACATGCACTGCCTTTTATGTGCGGGTTGGGCGGTTGCTTTATCTATGACAGAAGTGGCCCTCCAAAAGGCCACTGGATTCCAGCTCCCATCAGTCCCCAGATAGTGGTCAAACAACATCTGGAGGATAGTAGGTTAGCCACCCCTGGTCTATGGCATCTGCTTGTATCTGTGAATATAGCCAGTGGAATACCTGGTCTATGTTCCTATTGAGAAGCTTGAAGACAGTGGCACTGCTGGTTCCAAAGCTGTATGTGCACAGGGCAACTCAAGCCAGTTGGCTGCCTCGGGAGCAAGGGACAAAACATAACCTCTCCTCTCGTTTCTTGCACATAGTAAACCAAATCTTTCTTCAGCACTGGCAATGGGTCAGTGTCTTGCACTGCAGGCTAACTTGGGGGGTGGGGGTTCAGGGCAAACCACATAGCTCAGTCATCTCACTGCTGCTCCCCACCATCTGCCACCAGAGGCAGCCATCTTACGCTGCCAAATGATTAAGTTGGTCTTGTCCAGGAGTGCAGGAAGGATTCTAGAAGCAGGCAAATACTTTTCCATTTGCACAGCCTGGTCAGCCTGCATCAGTTCAGTCTATGCTGGTTGATCCCTCTCAGATTAGTAGCCCCCGTCATCTCCAGGAAGGGCTGGGAATGTCCCTTGCTTGAAATCCTGGGCAGCCTCTGCCAGTCAGTGAAAACAATACTGAGCCAGAGAGATAGTTGTGGATACCCAACAATTAGAGCCAATAAGAGATGCTATGGGGAGGCTCGCACGGTCCACGTCTGAGCATTCATTGTGGTGTGAAGTGGGAATGGCTTTGCTGTGCATCCAAATGTTCAGTCGTCTCTTGAATTTAACAGAGCTCTTTTGGCCTCCGCTATCTTATGGCAATGAGCTTCACACATTAATAATGCATAGGGGCCAGTTTTAAATATATTGCCTTTTAAAGACATTAAGGTCCTCTTGTGCCGCTATTATTAGAATGGGAAACAGGGTGGAGATAATTTACTTTCATTCATTATTTTTAATGCGTCTGCCATGGCCCTTATTCTTTGGCTCTGTAAATTAGGCATCCAGTATTTTCATTCCATCTTCATCTTGGGGGCTTTCCATGCTGATAGCACATGGCTTTTTCTCTGTCTCTGGGCACCTTCAGATTCAGCTGTTTCTTTGAGATAGGCTGAACCTGGCGCCCTTCAAATGTACTGCAGCTCCCAACCTTGAGATATGCTGACTGGCGCTCTTGGGAGTTGTCATCCAAACATCTGGAGGCTGCCCATTTAGGGGAAGGCTAGATGAACAGTCATAGTTCTACTATTCCTGGTGAAGAATCCTCAAGGATGTATACAAAGCAATTATAATACCAGATTGTTACTTTATAGTAGGACTGAACATTTCAGTTTGTAGATTCAATGTACAGCACCCCAGTGGGGCTTTGCAGAGAGGTGAGGTTGCTGTCTTGACCACAGGCCTGTTGCTACACTGGCCACAGTGGAAAGAGGAGCAGGAGTATCAGGATTGATCCAGGCTGATGACCGTGAGGCTGGCTTGAGATCCTGCAGATTCCTGGCCAGCTCAGCCCTGCCACCTCCTCAAAATGCTCTGATGGCTCCCACCAGCCTCCAGGCCTGAAATTTCCCTGCCTGGTCTTAGATGAAGCATGATGAAAAGCAGAGGCCAATGGTGCAATCAAGCGTGTACATGTCTACTCAGATGCATGTCCCATTGGATTCAAGGAATTGTCCACACTTCCATTTGTCCCATGCCTAGATAGCACAAGTCTGAGCGGTTTTCAACTTCATCTGCAGTTTCTAGGCGTGGGTCCAAGCGATTTTCCACTTGCCCTGTTCCTTTCCCAGGAAAAACTTGTTCTTTGGTGCTAAACTGGAGCAAGAGTTAATCCATAATAAACCTGAATTGCTGTTTGCTCTGATTGAGCACTAAAGAGCAGTTTTCCCCTGGGAAAGCAGTGGGACGAGATAAAGTTACTCCCAGGTAAACGAGTGTAGGATTTGCAACCCAAAGCACATGTGTGGCTAAACCTTCTTTAGGTGTATTAGATGGTGAGAGAAGGAAAAGTACTGTACATGCTCAGTGTGCAGTTGCAAAGAGAACCAGATGCAGACAGATCAAAATAGACTTTCCTAGAGCAGAAAAATGGCATTCATTTCAGTGAAGTCCATTTATCTGCCAAATTGTAATGTATTTCCAGCTGGTTTGGCTATGGCTAGGCTAAAAAGAAAATTCGGGATTATTATATGGGGTTTTTTTTGAAAGGCAAAACATATTTATTTCAGTTTCCCTTGGCTCTTTTGGGAAAATGGCTGATTTATATTTGCTCAAGCTTTCAAGCAAACTTCACATCTAAAAAGAAACTGGGCCAGGGAAGCTGCTTCAAGTTCCAAACAGCTGGAAATGAGATGGTGATGACAGTGAGGGAGGAGGCTAAAGTGGAAATCTTAATCCACTTCAAAAGTGAGCTTTCTCTAATATAATACAGAAGCCCCTCAGATTTACATGTACCTCACATTTACAGGTTGGTGGCAGAGCCATTCATGGGTTTACTGCAAGCTCAGAGTTGCTACTGCTAGTTGCCCACACCATTAGTTCACTTCTCCGGTCATATGGCAATCTGCATCTTCCCATGTAGTCCAGCATTCTGTCCGCACATTGGCCAGCCTATGAGAAGCCTGTGATTCCTAGCAGATGGCATTCATGGGCATACTGCCTCTGACATCAGGTGTAGAACATCGTGTGTCCCAGTGGCCTCAGAGTGCAACAGCCATCACAAATCACAAATCAGAAACTATGGGAATCTCCAGCTAAGGTGTTGGACCAGGTTCAGGGCCCTGAGCCTCCTGCTGGAGACTGAGAAACCACTGAATCTGAACTGACAGACAGGAGCCCGCAGGGTGCGAAGCAGAACTGGTGAAGGTGTGCTACCTGGGTAGAGCCCCGAGGGCCAGGTAAAGAAACAGGGGCTGCACATTGGTCCCCTGGCCCCGAGATCTCCTATTCCTGATCTAGCAGAAGTAGAGCTACCAGTGAACTGTCCAAGACAATATTCCCCTTCCACTTGCAGAAGATGACTAGACTGGCAGTTGAATTGGATGGGACAGTATTCTGCACAGCTGAAGGTGGCAAACTAAATTAGGAGCACGATACATGGTTCACTCAGCTCCATCTTCTAACACCTTTGTGCCATTTCCCTCCCTGCAGCATCTGCTGCCTGAGGCAACTGCCTCACCCTTCCTAATGGTAGGGCCAGCTCAGAGTGATATATTACAGGAGATCCGTGCCACATGGCTGCTGCCAAAAACCACAGCCGTGCATCTCTTCCTCCTTTCTTCCTTGGTAATTCAAAACATTTTTCAGTATTTTCTAGTTTCTTTATCTTACTTCTTTACAGATATTAATCCCTTCCTTCCCAGTCCTTCCAATAACTGTTTTTCCCCCATTTGTTTTCTCTGTACTGTCTTCCACAAAACCAATTAAAGGCGGGTATTTTGACCAGTTTGCAAATCTCCCTCCCTCTTCTTTGAAAATGGGGGCTTATTGCCCCAGTTCTGCACATCTGAAATGATTTGGGGGGGGGGGGCGTAAGACCCCTTTACTACCACATAAAACTTGCCAAGCTAACAAATGAAACTTTGTGAAAGAAGCTGCAGAGCTGTCCAGATGTCCAGAATACCAGTGACCTGATAGGAGATAATGATGAAAAGGAAACATCATCTCATGGTGCATTCATTCCTCAAAAGCAAAAGTGGGCAGTGGAGATATATCAGTAGAGATAGAAGGAAACAAAACAACATTGCTAATTAGGGAAGAAACACTGGCCATTTCTGAACTTGACTGTAATGGCAAATGATAGATCTGTCACTTGACAGAAGGGATTCATTCAAATTGATTGAACAGAACTTTATAGTCTAAATTGTTGTTGCATATCATTAGAAGCAATTAAGGTGTTCACACTGTGCATCACTTACAGGGCATATTCCTGAATTATCTGTGAGCAGATTGTGTGTCTATGGATGTGGTTCACAGTTGCTTAACACAGCAACAAAAGAAATTTTAACATGTGGCTTATTTGCAAAACTTATTTGCATTTGATGGAGTATGCGATGCTAGCCTGTGATAGCTTACGCCAGAATAAATTAACCTTCAAGACGCTACAATTCTGCTTTTCTTTTTGTTCCTCGAGAGCTCTCCTGTAAATAGCTATCAGCACCACATGAACTGTCACCTCAGGTAGATAATATTGTTTGGCTTCTCTGATTGGAACACATTAATTCTATATTTTCTTTCTTTCTTTCTTTCTTTCTTTCTTTCTTTCTTTCCTTTCTCTCTCTCTCTCTCTCTCTCTCTCTCTCTCTCTCTCTCTCTGTGTGTGTGTGTGTGTGTGTGTGTGTGTGAGAGAGAGAGAGAGAGAGAGAGAGAGGAGGAATCTATTCTTTTATTGCCAGCAAATACTCAATTGCTATGGAAATCCAATTTATGTGTTGGTGTATTTTAGAAAGGCTGGGAGCGTGTTTTTATAATGAATACCCCAATGGATCTTAGATATTCCAGAGAGGATTTAGATAACCCTAAGTGGCTTAAAGTCTGCAACATCCAGTTTTAATTCCTAGGAAATATCTGCTGGAACTGCCCAGTTATAAAGTCCTTTGTGAGAAAACTGGTAGATATAACGATTTATCTATCAGAACTCATGATGTGACCCCCATGACTGTTCTGTTGGGTTATCTGGATATTAGACTTGAGGAGGGGAAAGAGTCTGTATGAAATCTAACAAACACAGCACAGATATCTGTAGCACAAAAATGGAGAAACAGTTCCCCATCTACGATAAAGGAATATTTGGCAAAGCAAATAGGCTCCTGAAATTACGAAAAAGTGGTGTGGAAGACGAAAGTCATAAGAATTTTATAATAATTGGTTTCTGTTTATTGAATATATGAAGAATAGATTTGGCATAGTTATTGACAAACGTGGAAACTTCTCTATGTGGTGAATAATAAATATGCAAAAATAAATATTTGTGTGGTATATTTCCAACTATGACAGAGCTTATCTTGTAAGTATTATCAATATATTATTTATAAAGTTGTATGTAAATGTTAAAAGTGAATGTACATAGTTTTAACTTATTTGTGTTGATTAAATCTTAATACTTAAAAAAAAGACTATCTGCTGAGGATCCAGTTCATGGGACACTGTGAGGTCTTTGCTCCCTGAGGTTAAGGACAAGATGGCTCCCATTCCACATACAGAAGCCAACTGGGCTCACAGCTAAATTTCACTTTGACACCAGTCATGGGCCAGTCTTCCACTGTACCCTAGCCAATTTTGGATGGTCATAACGTATTGTGCAGTATACAAAGTTCTGTCCTTCAACAGACGAGAATGGCCAGAGGGCTTAGAAGAAAAATCACAGAGCTACCAACACTGTTTGCTGCTTGGGTGGTCATCTCACTTTGCACAATAGTATTTGTTTTATTTATTTATTTATAATATTTCCTACCTGCCCCTTGCCATAAGCTCCCAGAGCATGTTTCAACAATGTAATAATGCAACATTTAAATCAGTTAAAACTGCTCCATAACTGAGTTGCACACTTAAGAATGACTTTATTTTGTCGCTGGGGGTAGATGGTAGTACAGAGAAGGCACCTCTAGATGAAAACTATCTTGAAACACCCCAAGTTTCAAACTCTGATGATGGACAACACAAATATAATTGTTTTTCCTCTGGTTGCCTTGATATCAAAGCTCTTGCCAGCTGTAGATTATTGATTGTAGATGCATTTAAATTAGCCAGGAAAAATAAGGTTTGTCGTGGATATTATGCTACCAGAAATACTTATTTACAATATGTATACACCATCCAATAACAAAAAGTTTTCTGGACAGTTTACAATAAAAGTGAAAACTACAAATTATACCAGGACCTTCTCCAGCCTGGTGCTCCCTCCAGATGCTGTTGCACTAAAACTCTCATTATCCCTGTTGATTTGAAAGGCATCAGGTTGGGGGAGGCTGAACTATACAAATTATCTCAACAAAAAACCAGCAAGAATAAATCCAACATACAATGCGAGACAGAGAATTACAACAGTGCAAAATATCTAAAAATCACTAAAAAAAAAAATTATAAAACTGAGAGGCCGAGGAAAACAATAATAAAAACAGAAAGTTTCCACCTGGCATTCTGCTCTAACTATAACAAGAAAAAGCAATGTTGCATCATATTTTGACATTTAAATGAAGATTATACTTCAGGGTTAGAAATAAAAGCACCCACCATCCAAATACTCAGAAAATTGTATTGCCTTTTCTACATTTGAACATTTATCTTACAATTGTCACTCTTATTTGGATATCTATTTGGACATATGGCCTGCTTATACTAAGATATGTGTTTACATCAGGATTAATGTACTGTGGTCTAAACCACTGAGCCTAGGGCTTGCTGATCGGAAGGTCGGCAGTTTGAATCCCCGCGACGGGGTGAGCTCCCGTTGCTCGGTCCCTGCTCCTGCCAACCTAGCAGTTCGAAAGCACCTCAAAGTGCAAGTAGAGAAATAGTTACCACTCCGGTGGGAAGGTAAACGGCATTTCCGTGAAGTGCTCTGGTTTCTCCAGAAGCAGTTTAGTCATGCTGGCCACATGACCCGGAAAAACTGTCTGCGGACAAACATTGGCTCCCTCGGCCAGTAAAGCAAGATGAGCGCTGCAACCCCAGAGTCGTTCGTGACTGGACTTAACTGTCAGGGGTCCTTTACCTTTACCTTTACCTATTGATAAGGTGAGTTGACGTAGTTTCTTTCTCCTATATCTTATTTTTAATATAAATATTGTGTGCTTTTTAAAAAATTAAATTCAGAATTTGATTTTTTTTATTAAAAAAAAGGTTGCCACACTTAACAAAATACAATCCAGAGCTCTGTTATTATTCATCCTCCTTACATTTCTGCACCCACTGCAAGTGCATGAATGTTTGCTCAAAAAAAGAAGTTGAAATGAATTACAGGATTGTGGTCCCAGGATAATTGACTGTAAAAAAAATGGGAGGGGAGAAAATTAAAGAAGCTCATTGACTTACACATCAACAGATGGAGAAACAAGAGACTTTGAGAAACAGCTTCAGGAAAGCAAAATTAAACATAACAGATATGGCTTTCATTAACAAGAGCAGCAGTAAAAACTAATTTTCCATGGATGCAAATGGTTCCTCTGCTTGCTCTGTAGCACGCCATTTGGGGAACTTGGGTATTAGGTTAGGAGGGGGTTCACCCCGGTTCAGTCTTTTATTGCCACAGCTCTCCGAGTCTGTCAATATTTGTAAAAGAGCATGTGCATATCTCAGGAGACAGATAGGTGTGTATTGGATTTCCATGGTGAGAATGAGAAGAACAGACAGAAGCTGTAATGTAAGGAGCCTGAGGAGACTAGCAGGGCCAAGTAAACAGCCTTGTTTCATTAGACGAGAAATGAATTCCCACTTCAAGCTCCATGGCTGGAACAGGCAGGGGTCTCTATTGACAAGCAGAGGCATAAGTACACGTAAGCACGCGTCAGGATGTTGCCTTGCTTCACTGACAGACAATCCCCTTGACGTGAGCCAGCCACTTTCAGCCAAGAATAGTAACCATTACACAACTCTCCTGTGGGACAGCCTGCAGAGGCTGGGATGTGGCTGGTTACTACGGTACAGAATGTAGCACATTGAAAACGCTCAGGGGTGGGGGGAGAGAAAGAGAGAAAGAAAGAAAGAGAATTATACCCACTTCCTTGAGGAAATAAGAAGCTCCAGTAACTGTCAGATTTCCGGTATCTTATTCTTTATTTACATTAAGACCCCTGGGTATAGGGGGTTGTTTATACATTCAATTATTATTAATAATAATAACACACAGGGCTTCACCTTTCCTACCTTCTGCCACCAGTTTCGGAGTGAGTTTAATACTTGTCTAGTTATGTCTTGCTCTCTTTTAGTACACTGCCACAATATTTTTGAATGATGGGCAGGCTGCAAAATAATCAGCATATTCACAATTTATTTCTGGCATCTTCTCAAGAGGCACAACCCTGCTTAAAAAGTCAGTTGTTAATACAATATTAGGTTCATCTTTCAAATGTATCAATGAATTTAGATGATCCATAGCTCTAGTGCTAATAGCTATTCACAATAGTACCATTATGCAGAACACAGAAAATCCCCTGCAAAGGTTTTAAGGACATGTAAACACCATACATATCTATTTTAAGGAAAGGGAATGAAGCATAATAAAAGCATTATTTCACAGATGATTTATTTTTACTCATTTCTCCAGTCACTTCACTTGCACTTCAACCGCAGTAGAATATTCAAATTGTAGCTTCTTTCTTGTTTTCTAACCAAACCTCCAGAAAGGGTCGTAGCTCAGGGGTAGAACACGCTCTTTGCATACAGAAATCCCCTGATTCCATCTCCAGCTAAGACTTGGAAAGGCTCATCCGAACCCTGGAGAGCCACTACCAACCAGTATAGACAATGTTGACTTAGATGATCTAAGGTTCTTAGATGGATGACGGCTTCTGCAATTGCCAGGCAGGCTGAGTTCAGGACCCTGGAGGGCTGCATCTGGCCCGCGGGCCATAGTTTGAGGACCCCTGATCTAATGGAACAACTCAATAGGACAAAGCTTCCTAAACAATAAAATAAAGCTCCTGCTAGTTTTCGGATTTATTATTCAGTTTACTTTTGTCACTGTTCTGATAGGGCCATGTATGTATTATACGCATCACATGAATACACAGTAAAGTGTAAAGGCACAGGTCAATTCTGTGACCAGGGCAGCTGTCTACCAGCTCCATATGATACACAGGCTGAGACCCTACCTGCCCGCGGACTGTCTCGCCAGAGTGGTGCATGCTCTGGTTATCTCCCGCTTGGACTACTGCAATGCGCTCTATGTGGGGCTACCTTTGAAGGTGACCCGGAAACTGCAACTAATCCAGAATGTGACAGCTAGGCAGGTGACTGAAAGTAGCCGCCAAGACCATATAACACCAGTCCTGAAAGACCTACATTGGCTCCCAGCATGTTTCCAAGCACAATTCCAAGTGTTGGTGATGACCTTTAAAGCCCTAAACAACCTCAGCCCAGAATATCTGAAGGAGTGTCTCCACCTCCATTGTTCACCCCAGACACTGAGGTCCAGCTCCGAGGGCCTGTGGAACACCCTCCCATCAAATGTCAAGGAAGCAAACAACTATCTGACATTTAGAAGACATCTGAAGGCAACCCTGTTTAGGGAAGTTTTTAATGTTTGATGTTTTATCATGTTTTAATATTCTGTTGGGAGCACTATGGTTTCATAAACTAGTGGTATTTCATGTATTTTACAGACAGCATAGCCTGCACTGAGGAGGAGGAGAAAGCTGGGTGGAAATAGCTCAGT